TTGGTGGCCAAGTTTCCCCATTCTGGTGTATTTTAAGGAGACACAAACAAAGCCTGAAGGACAAGTTCACTTCTTCCCAGTAATTTTTGTAAGTTTACTTTAGGAGCAAAAATAGACTGTTTTGTATTTTCTACTTTTGTAATTGCTTCTCTGGCTCCTTTTCTGGTTATTAAACAGATAATCTCTTGGAGTGCTACTGGCATCTTACCTGGCTTAACCAGGTTTACTGGATTAGCTTATTTGGTTTTGACAAAAATTGGAGGTTATAGGAAAACCCTTCACATAATTGAATATTATAGCTGTCTATCCTACTTGGCCCTTGGTTCATATTTAAACTTCAGGTATGAAATACCTCAGTGCCAATTGAATCCCTGATTTATGATTTCTCATTTTTTTTTTTACAAATAGAATGGAAAGCAACTCTATGATGTTATGGTTGAAAGAGCTGGTCCTTCAAAAACTAGTGGTCCAAAATAATCCTGAAGACTTGAGACTTTCACGATGACATATTCTCAATATCAAACTTTAAAAGAATAAGGTATGAAATAGCTCCAACTCCTACCGGAAATTTATAAATGATCTTTGAACTTTTGTCATGTCTTAAACTCTTGCTGTACAGGTTAAGACTTGTTGCCTATCATTTTATTTGAAGCTTCATGAAGTACATATTTTACTCTAGACTGCACCTTATCTTCATCAGACCAATCATCTCTGGTTCAAAATTTGTACTGTCCTGCAATTGCAGACATTCAACCATGCAAGATGTAAGACTCAGCTGTCCTGCAGTTGCAGACATTCAACTATGCAAGATGTAAGACTCAAGGGTTAATACTTTATATGTTGTAGCTTTAGGTTTTTATCACTGGTCTATATTTGACCAATTGTAATACATTATTCTGATCTGTCTGTAACAGTTTTGCCGGGAGGCCGAGAGCCAACTTGGTTTGTATCTAAAAACTTCAGGAAAGTCAGAAACAAGTAAAACAGTCCTTTGCTAGCTCAAATATTGTAACTTTTGCTTTAATTTGTTCTCTACATATTTAATAAAAAAATAGAGTTGTAAAGGGAAATTGGGAAAAGAAGAATTATACATTTAAAAGCCACTGAGTACACATCTGACAATAACCAGAAAGCAAAAATCAATCAGCATGAGATGAAAGCTCAACAACAGTTTCATCCATCTGACAGAAACCAGAAAGTAAAAATCTAGCAGCACGAGATGAGAGCTCAGCGACAGTTTCATCCAACCCATCACCATTTACTGCGTTGAGCATTCAAAAGCTTCCATTAACCTTAACCATCCAATTACCAACTCAAGGATTGAGGTATCTTCTCTATCAAAAAAAATTAAGAAATTTGTATTGGGATAACTGCATGCACTGCCTGAGGGCTGAGAGAAATGGTATGCAAACAACAGAGTTGCATTTAGGTTCTCATCCGTGGAAAATTCGTAGTACTTGCACTAATTCTTGGTGCAATGGGCATCTGTACCATGCTGGGTGCAATGAGTATAACCCAGACTACTTAGAAAGTCCCGTATCTCTTTGGCAGTACTGTTACTTGCTTGCAACAGTCGTTCATCTTCCTCATAGATTAGATATGGGGCTTCACCTTTTTTCCTGGATAATAACTTTTTGGCTCCCTTCAATACGTGATATTCCCATCCCTGAACATCTATTTTAAGTAGAAGCACTGGCTCCAACTCTGGGATAACTTCATCGAGAGGGATAGACCTCACTTGAACAGCTATTTCTTCATTGTATTTGAATGCCAACTTTGCACCAACGGCAGAAACAGCACTGTTGTCCAGCCGGCCAACCAACTGGTGAAAACATAGCCGGATTTTACATGAGAAGCACAAAATGGAATAATATTGTAATGGATGGAAAGGAATCTATAAGAATGGATAAACAAAACTGCAGGCTTCTCTTAATGAGAACTGTAGTACATCAACTAATAGCATAAGCTAGTAAGACCTCGATAGGAAAAACGCACAAGATAGAAATGTGAATGCCAGAAATAGAAGACAACAGGTAATAAATACAGCAAAATCATAATAGTAATATAATTCTCTGCAACCCAAACTCCCCACAACCTATCATGTGATTCACAAAAGTTACCGGCTCTCTCCTTCTTCCAAGTAGCATAAACCACGATCTCTTGTCATGTGGACTTCCAAAATTAGTATCACATTCTCAAACTGGTTCAAGCAGAGAGCAGAGTAACATCTACATAAAAGAAAGTGAGGGCCCCCTACTCCAAGAAAAATCCAGCTTTGAGCTTCTCAAAACTCCATTCTAAATTAAATTCATGAACATTGGTTATTGACAGCCAACACAAGAGAGTTCAACAGGTCCTAACAGGCCTTCTGATCATGCATATAGTTACTAGTGCTCCTATTGGATCTAGTTGACATTAAATTAGCCATTAATTAAACACATACAAGTTTTATTGGCCAGACTGGATTCCTTGATGCAACTGATACACCTAAGACAAAGGTGGGGAGGGCTATTTTATAAATGAATCTGATGACTGCATTATTAAATAACCAAAATGGACCTGTTCTCCATCGCAAATATCACAAGGAACAAAATGGATCTGCCTCCACACTCATAGAGCCTTCAGAACCCAAAAACAGCAGTAAATAAAAATGTTTCCACAATTATCAACCTTTGAAAAAGTCACTCAACCGCTGATGCATGAACGTACAAAACAAAGGGTGCAAAATCCACAGTTCCACCAAAATTTTTAACATCTCATAAACCGCATACATGCTAAGCCTATATGCTTCTATTTTAAGCTAAATCTGGGCTTAGTTATCAAACATAAATTTAGCAAATACAACTAACAGTAAAATAATAACTCCCTAACTTCACAAAATGTAAAAACTACTAAGATTATAACAAAGCAAAATCAGCAAAATAACCATAAATTAAAAGAGCCATACCTTATGGAAAGTAATATTTCCATTCCGATCAGATGCAGCGGCTTCAAAAACAGTGATCAACTCCTCAATCCTATTAAACCAAACCCCATCACAAATCCTTTGCAAATTCTCCAAAACCGGCTCAAAAGCCAACACCTTGAACCCCATAACCGCCGCGGCGAAACTCGCCATCCCGACATTGGCACCGACATCTACGACAAACCCATCTCTGTTTTTGCCTTCTAGGACATCCTGAATGGTAGCCGAGATGTCAGGTCGACGAAAGGGCTTACCTTTAAGAAGTCTCACAATGTTCTTGTGAGGCTTGTCTGGGAGGGAACCTAAGTCAGCTAGGGAGTAAATGAAAGGGTATTTGAGATGTTCTACTTTGTTTGCAACAATGGGGTGGGATTGTGGGGAGTTGTGGCAGCTATAAGGAGGAAGTGGGAAATTTTGGACTTTTCTTTGGGTCTTATAAGAGGGAGTTGTGGGAACAAAGGTGGGGTTTTTAGGGGAAAGAAAAGAGAAGGAGAGGTATAGGAGGAGGGAGAGGAGGAGGAGGTAAAGGAGGGATTTGGGTGAGAGGAGCTTTTGGGTTTTGCTGTTATCTCTTTTCCATGCATTTGCCATGGAAATGAGAGTTTTTTTTTTTTTTCTTTTAAAATGGATTTTTGGGAACGAACAGAGGTTTTCCCGGAAAGTTGTGGAGCTTGATAGATTAGATCTCTGGGTGAGCTTTTTGAGTTTTTTGTGTGGAATGCGTTGGTGTCTTTGAGATTCCTGGGACAGCGTATTTTGGTTCTTGCCAATCATGGGCTGGTTGGATCGCGTCGTTTCATGCCATGGTTTATGTCGTGTTGAGTTCCATGGCTTCGATTATTAAATTATTTACCGTTATATATTCTGTTATTATTTTTAAACAGATTGCTACCTATAAGTGGAGGATAGGATAAATTACGGTTATATCTTCACATTGTGATAATTTATCAATTTTGATTTTTAATATCATAAAAAAGGTATCTTAAAAAACCAATTGATATAAAAAGACAAAATATCTTCCAAAAATTTTTTATGATATTATTAATTGATATTTAATTTTTATTTTTTATATTAAAAATTAGTAGTGATTTATCATGAATTACGATTACAAATTACAAAGTCATATGTTAACATCCACTACGATAAAATAAAATAAAATGCAAGTATCTAATTAGGGTTATGGTTACTTAATTTTCTAATTTATGGATTTTCCTCCTTAAAATATGTTTTAATTATCTTTTTATCAACCTAGAATCAACTTGTTTAAATTCTGTTTCTCTTGTCATCATGTGATTAAACTGCAGTTTACAGTGTATTTAGATCATTCCAAAGGTCATTTAATGCCATGGTGGGTTTCTGTTTTTTCATCTTTAGTAACTTAAAATATAACGCTGAGAGCAGAGAACATCAGCTTTCTAATTGGTATAACCGTAATGAAGTATAGTTTACATTCATTTATTTATGCTGCATATATGTTTGGTGCTGCAATAGAATGCTCTGATGCTCTTCTCCCTGTGCAGGATATCTTTGCCTGCATTACTCTATATTTTGCAATGCTGTCGGCATGAAATCAGAGCTTGTTGATGTCTTGGATTTTGGTGCTGTTGGTAATGGCAAAGCAGATAGTTCTGAGGTGCATTTAATTCATTCTAATTTAATTTTATGTGTTCTTTTTTTATCCTTTTCCTTCAAGTGAAAGCCCAACAACATATTCAATCTTGCAGGCCTTTTTGACGGCTTGGAATTTCGTATGTAGCAGAGAAACCGAACGTGTTAGATTGATTGTTCCAGGAAACCATACGTTTTTGTTGCATCCAGTCACTTTTAGTGGCCAATGCAAGGCCAAAGAGATCAAATTTCTGGTATGAGGAAAACCAGGGAACCCTGGAAGAATTTCTGGTATGGGAATTTCCTTTTCTTTTTTTTCCGGTACAAGGCAACCTGTTTCTTATCATGGTTGTTCTTTCGATATTCAACAGATACATGGGAGAATAGTGTCACCGGTTTCACCTAAAACATGGGAGGGACTCGACCAGGGCAAATGGCTAACGTTTAACGGAGTTTCTGGGCTCAAAGTCAAAGGTACCGGTGAAATTAATGAACGGGGCTGGGGTTGGTGGAACCAATCATGCAGGGATCATCCAGGCCTGGTACTATAAGCAACTACATAAATTATCTGCTCTCCTCAAAAAGCTTTGTAATTTCAATTTTCTTACATTATCTGTATATCCTTTTGACCTTCAACTTCTCTAGGAAGGATGCACATCATTGGCACCAACAGTAAAAGTATTTTCTATTTCCATGCGCCGCTTGATTTATTGAAGCAATGAAATGATTGCCCTCCCGGATTTTCTTCCTGGAATTCTTATTTTAATTCGTCTGGTGATTTCGTGAACTGCAGACCATCACTTTCCAATCCTGTAAAACCAGCAGTCTCAGCGAGCTTCGAATAATAAACAGCTCCCAGACACATGTGCTAATAGAGGGGAGTGACCATTTCATCGTTGAGGATGTGATGATAACAGCTCCTGAAACCAGCCCAAATACAGATGGAATTCATATCAGTTCAGCTAGCAATATAGTTATTAGAAACAGTAGAATTGGAACTGGGATAGTTTTTCTTTCCATTTCCTTTCAGTAATTTATGTTAGATAAAGTTGAATACCCTTTCTGAGCTTGTGAATGAAACAGGTGATGATTGTGTTTCCATTGGAGATCACACTACTAATAGTGACATTCTCGTGTCAAGTGTGGACCGGGTCATGGAATAAGGTTAGGCGTTTTCTTTTTTTTCACTTTTTTTTATTCTACTACTAGAAAAGACCTGAGAAAACATCTGCTTTTCTGCTCGTCTATGCAAATAAAGGCTTTTTACTATTAAACGAAAAAGTGGATTGACAAGTTCCTCCAAATTCACCCTGTAAAAGATTCCCTAATGACTTGCTGTCATGGTTAATTCTATGGAAGAAAATGACAAAGTCTTTAATCAATGCCTTTGAATGCTAGGCAAAGCTCTCTTGTTTTTCTTCTTGCGATATGAGTGTTTGTCATGGTCCCAACTTCCAAGCTACGTGCCTACCTAACTACTGGCTTTAGCTTGTCCTCTCTTTCTAAAGCTTATGATCAATCGTTGCATCTTTTCCTTGGGTCACGGGGACTCATGCAGGCAATGTAGCTTTAAAGCACTTGTTAGTACTGTCTTCTGGTATACGCTCGTCTCTTTCTCTTGGTTCGAAACAGCATTGGAAGCTTAGCAAGGGCGGGAAACTTTGTACAAGTGCAGAACATTCATGTAAGTAGAGTTGCCTTCAAGGGAACTACCAATGGAGCTCGAATCAAGACTTGGCAGGTGAAAATTGCTTAACATGTCTTGCTATCCTTCCAAGTTCATTTTTTTGACTGCAATGTTGCCTCTTCTTTTCTCATTTTGCCCATTTTTCTTTTTCTAACTAAATGAAGGTAGGGAGAGGTTATGTTCAAGTAACATTTGAGAATCTATTCTTCAAATCAGTGAAAAACCCAATAATCATAGATCAAAATTACTGCAATGTTAGGGGTGCTTGCAAGGAATTGGTAATCCGAACGAGCCCTTGGTTTTTAGAATTGCATGGTGTTGAATAATTAAAAGTGCAGAACTAACCAAAAAGAACATTTTTGTTACTTTGTTGGGTATAGCCAACTGGAGTTCACATAAGGGACGTGACTTACAGAAATCTATGGGGAACATCAAGCACCCATGTGGCCATTTCTATAAACTGCAGCCAGTCGGTTTCATGCACGGGATTATTATTGCAATCCATATGGCTTAAGTCTGCCATGGCTAGGAAGGTTATTTCTAGTTGCATTAATGCTCATGGCGCAGCTATTGGAGTTGTTCAACCTGCTCCCTGTTTCCAAGATTGATTATTGAAGCCAGTTTCTGCATTCAAAGAAACTTGAGAAGCTATTTTTTTTTTTGTTGTACATTCTGATTCTACGATATTGTACATCTTACATAATCCTAATGGCTTATCTTTTCTCACATTACCTTCGTGTAATTCTAATTGTACAAATGAATTTTAAATTAAATACACATCTTAGTATTAAGAAGTGTTTTTACCTGTATGCAAGTAATGTAGAAAGGTTTTTTTTTTAAATAGAAAAAAAAATTCAAATCTTATTTTTTAAGCAAAAAGACACATGAGTCGAATGTTGCTTAAACATTCATTGAGATGACGACAAATGAAATCGCAAGGCAAATATAAACCAATCATCAGCATTGCATTTGATAGGAATTGAAATACACTTTGATCTGATGAAGTTACAACTACTGATTTGGTACATTCTAGGCTAGTAATGGATAGGACAATTTTCCAAGAACCTCACTTTCCTTTCCACCCTACCAAACATTAAAGCATTTATGCTAGCCAGTAAGAAGATTGTTATGTTCCAACGCTGGAGTAAGTCATCCAACGCTTCTGCTAAAAATAGATATACATAAATGTATATATATATTTTATTATAGGCTACACGCACGAATTGGCTTATGCCAATTCATCTGGACGGGCAATATAAGCAGAGAGATGCATCTTGTGTTTGCAGGAAGTTCAAGGGTTACTGCACGTCCTTATAAATGTACGCAAACTCGACCAGTAAATCTCATCAAAATTCCGAAATAACCAAGCAAACTAAATGGCAACTTGGGCTTCGGTGAAACAGGATTTGAGTAAAGATCTCATATTCAAATTGTATTGCTCATAGTACCCTAATAAAAAGAGAAATCGATGCATAAAATTAGAAAATAAAAATTTTCTAACAATATGTAAACAACTAAATTTTTATTGATTGAACAAAATCTATGGATAATTACATTACATTTAATACATTCTAGATTTACAGACATGACAGCAATTACAGGATTTCAGAAACAAAAAAAAACACACACACACATTAATGCGCAAATATTTTCTAACATCAATATAAAAAAAATTCTCACTCCTTAAACCAACATCATAAAGCCAATTTTTGGATTACCATTTCTTTAAGCGAAGTCACTAATCTGCGGAAGACTCTAAGGTTGTGTCCTACTTTGTCCTGAGAAGACAAGTACCAACCAAAAAAAATATCAATATATATTCCAACAAAGAAAACTAAGGGCAGACTCAAAGCAGTTGACAATGGAACCAAGACATCCTTGCCTTGGAGAATTTCAAGGCCACAAATGTCAAAACTAAAGTGTCTTTTCAATTTATTTCTGATTTCCAGATAGGCTAAAGCCAGCACAATTTTTGAGTTTGTTAAAGGCTTATACCAAACCCGAAATTGAGAGAATTAAAAAACACCGTTATCATTCCAAACAACTAAAGCGACAAGCCTACTCTGCACAAGGGCTGAATGTGGGAGTAAATCTATATGACATAAGTCATAACTTCTTTAATAAATATTTTGTATGCAAAGAATTGACAATTTGTCAGTAGCATACTTGGTATAGAATAAAAGTGATCTTTCATTTGGATTGCTGTTTTTTCAGAATTTCAACCACCACTAGAATAGATAAACTAAAAACACATTGTACCATGTCTGATACTCTAATTCTCCCATGACTTGCCAAATGATCAAATCGCGGAAGGTCTAAACAGAGATCAGGGAAGCAGCATACCTCACTTAGTAGCTCAAGTCGCTCTAAGAGTGGAATTAACTTTCCACACAACAAAGAAATTTCTTGCCCTGAGTCAGGTTTGGCACCATATGTAATGGTTTTCATACTTCCGCTGGCATCAAATACACCAGAGCTGCCATAAAAGCCAGGAATTAAGAATAAGGCAACTTCATATACATACAAAACAATTATTGGAAAAGTATTCTAAAAAGGAAAAAGCATAAAAGTCAATCTACTTTATGTTTGACATTCTGATATCAGCTGGCCAATGAGGACAAATCACCCTAAAATCCAATTAAAAATAAAAAGAGGGGGAATATGTGGGGGGCACGGGGAAATGATTTACAGCTAAACCTTAATACATTCCAATCTAGGTCACATTCATTTAAAAATATACTAGTATTTCCTAGAGCTGCTTAACATTCACTAGCATATTCGACAGCCAGCTAGAGACCTTAAAGTCTCCACCGTATCCAACCTGCTCCTCTTACATCCAATAGTCTTAAACCTCTCATTTCTTATGGCTTATCAAACTAAGCATCAAAAGAAATCGCCCAATGTCTTTAAAAAAAAAAAACAAATTGCCTAAATAAATTTTCTGCTCATTAATTTTCAATGCAACCATTAAACAAAAAAACGATAAATTCAAAACTAGAGAACTAATCTACATGAGTTCATTAATCCTTGAAGGACCAGAAACATGTACACACACACACCAAGATTCAAGGAGTATCATAGCAACTAATTTCACCCATAAGCAATGCAACAAGTTAAGAATTATTTCAAAACCATGGGGCAAAAAACGAAGCACCTATCCTGAAAATGGATTAGGATGACATTCAACATGTGCTCTGCAAGAGGAAGCAATAAAGATATCAGCTGATCCCTATTACCAGCTACTTGGCACATTTCAACCATTGCTACATACCGCCTGTAAAACAGGAAAGCCATCTTGTTAAAACTACAAGAATGCACCAACAATCCATCAATACCACAAATACATGAAGAGTGCAAACTGCGAAAAATTTTTCAAACATAATAGATATTTTATCTTCAATTGAGATAAGTTTCTTTAATTTCAATAATAAGGCTACAAGAAAAACTTCTTGCACGTGTATTTTCAAATTAAACCAAACAGAAAAGCAATGCAAAACTGAAACATACCTTTTCTGTATGTCATCCGAGGCTGAAACCAAATCTTGCCTAACACATAAATTAATAACTTCATCCACCTCCTGTCTTGATAGTTCATTTATGTCTTGAATCTGCAAACTCAAAATTGTAATTAGTGCACATGCCACACACAAACTTTTACCTCCAAGGAAAAAAAAAAGCAATACAAATGAAGAAATGACAGATAAAAGGCAATGCAAACACAAAGAACAAACAACAGAGCAGAAATGCAAAAACATAAAACATTATGATCTTTCACTATGTTTATACAATCCCATAATACCTTATTAAGCAGTATTGATTTTTCCTCAGATGCTCTTTCAAGAGAATTTGTCACAGCATTCAAAAGAGAACAAAGTAAATTAAGTGTTGGCTGCTGCAGGCCAGCAGGAGAATGATAGTCAGGAGAGTTGTCTGACACCTGCGACAAGGTGATAGATGATACGCATTTCTTTGTCTATCATCAAACCAAACGATATAAATAAATGGAAGAATGTGCAAACCTCAACCTTTGAAGTTTGAACACATACCTGCAGCCTAAGGGATTTCTTTGTGACCAAAAAGTATAGATAAGAACTCAGACTAAAACATAGTCGAAAAGCATTGAGTTCTGACCTCCGCTGATTCTGATCATTCATTGGAAAGAAAAAAGGAAAAAGAAAGATGAACAATACATGAGTGTGATGGCATAATTGAAAAGCATTGAGTTCTGACTAACTTGAATTCTGATCATTCAAAAAAAAAAACAAATGAACAATACATAAGTGTGAAAAAGCTGATAGCTTCTACAGCAACATGCAGAAAAAACATTGCCACACCTTGGGAGATCGCGCTGAGTGTGAAGAAGTAGCTGTCTCTGAATCACTAGAGAAAAGAATAAGCATCATGCTAAAAAGCCCTTGGACAAAACCATACTCATCACTTTCTTCATAAGGCCAAACCTATAAATTAAAAAAAAAAAAAGAAATAAGTGTATCTGTGTAATCAAATCAAACTTCGTTTAATTTATATGAAAGAAAAAGACTACCTAACAATCAAGATAACAAAGATAATCTACGACATTAAGAAGAGAACCACTGGAAAACCCCTCAAAAAGAAAATAGTTAAGTTTTGAATCTTTTACAACCATATTCTATTTCTCAACGTGTCAAAGCACCAATCAAACAGATGATGCCACTGCCTGATTGCAAGTATCAAGTAAATTTGGAGCCAGATAGGATTACCCCAGAACACATCTTAAAGGTTCTCACCTTGCTAAGTATACCAACAACAAGATTGATCTGCTCCATCATCAATTCATCAGCTCCAGAAACATCTTCCCGAAGAACTTGATCAAAGAGCAATTGATGTCCTTTCACAAAATCTATGACTTCACGGACAATTTTATTCTTAACCTATAAAACAAAGTACATGGAAAAGGAGGAAATTTGCATCAGGCACAAAAATCGAAGAAGATAAATTGAGGAAAGGCAGGAAAAGGACTGACATAGAACCTAAGAAACAATGTCCACTATTTCAAATTAAAAAAATAGTGGCTTATTATGAACCATGACAAAACAAGCATGCTCGAGTATGGTTGAAAGAGAAGAAGATTGAGAAGTATATAAAAGAATGTAGTTTCTCCAATATTGAAAAAAAAAAAAAGAGAAGTATTTGATACTTCTAATTGTAAAGCCCAACTGAGTCTTTCTCATCAAGAACTGGTTGGCTGAACCCATCATCCCTCTTATTAGACATAAGTCAGTAGGTTCCAAACAGAATCAGGACTTTCAGGTAAGGATACCCACTTTAACGGCTTGCAATATGCCTAGGTCAACTAGATAAAAGCTAACATGACCTGAAGAATTGAAAGATGGCAACAAGATTCAAAAATTAAAACACAAGGATAACCAGATAAATACATAGCAGCAGGATAAATTCTGGTCTGCCATATGTCTCAACTATTTGCTTATGTTCTGGTGAATATAAATCATTCCAGAAGTCAAACAAGGGTAAGTCACAGAGAAGCTATCAGTCCAACTCAATCCAAACATTAAAGAAGCTTGAGCTCAAGTTTCAAGTTCAACTTGAGCTCTTAGTTTGCAACCAACTCAAACTTGAGAACAACAACAATAACACCTATTATTACAAATGGTAATCATAAAAAAAACAGCAGCAACAAGCATGGCTCAGCATAAGAGAAAAGTCGAAGCTTGATCTCATCTCTTAAGCTCAAGCTTTGAAATCAACTTGAGCATGCAAC